CCTGGAGCTATGGGAGTGGTCACCTGCAAGTGTTGTGGGTGTCAGCTGGGAGGATAAAGAGCCTTCCTGCTTGCTGGTCTCCATGCCTGTCTCCGCTGTCTGGGCCAGTTAACTGTGCAGGGAGTGGCCTCTGGTTTAATCCCCTAAACTGCTGTGAATGGGGTGGCCCTTAGGATGGCCTAAAGTGATGTCAGGGTTTGCAGGCGAGCACCCCGGGTTCTGCTGAGAGACCAAAGCCCCTTCATGACTCCCACTCTCAGTGCCTGTCTCTGCTGTCTGTGCCAGTCTCCTGCATGCAGGGGGCCACCTATGGGTCTAGGCTGGTTAGCTGCATGCAGGGAGAAGCCTCTGCATTAAGCTGTATAGTTGCTGTAGGTAGGGCTGCCCCCAGGCTGATCTGCAGCAGTGGCAGGGAGAGCCAGTTTGCTCATAGGTGCCAGTGGGAAGGAAGGAGTGGCAGGCTTCTTATCACAGTCAGGGGTCTTGGGACTGCATTGCTAACTAAGGGGAATAGGGCGCCTGAAGCTCCTGGAAGTTCCCAGCCTGCTGGGCTGAACCTGCCAAGACAATTTTGTCCACCTGTTCCTTTTCCTAAACCATTGCCCCTTTAGCAGCCTTCTGACTTTTGAGAAGTCTTTTAAAGCACTTGCTTTTCTTTTGTCCCAAGGCAGCCGACTGTGGGAACTTGTTCACAGTCTTAGTCTCAGACTTTGCTTTTCAGCCCCTCTAATCTCTAGAGCACCATGCATTATGGGTCTGTGCTCCCGGCATAGATTTCTAGGGCTGGGTATTTAGCATTCCTGTGCTTCCACTCCCTCCCTGGTCTGATTCTTTTCCTCCTGCCAGTGAGATGGCATTGGGGGAGTACTTGGGTCCCTCCCAGTCACAGCTTTTTTACCTTACCCTTTTCTGTGAGATGTTGACTTCTCCCAGATGTAGACTGGCTGGTGTACTGTTACTTCTGGTCACTCTTCTAGGAATAGTTGTATTTGCTCTATTTTCAAAATATATGTGGCTTTGGAAGGAGATGTCCACCACACTACTCATACCACCATCTTTTCCTCTCATACCTCAAGTATTTTGAGAACTTTTCTGCTATTTAAGCTCATCATTTAATTTTTTCAGCCATATTACTGGTCTAATTCCTTTAAGCTGATCTACACACCCTGTTTTACTTTTCTTTTTTTCTCCAAACCTTCATTCCTCCAATCTACTTGTTCAGCAGTTGCTTTGCCAGAAAAATGCCAGGTGATTCCAACTGTCACAAGGACATACTTAAAAATATTTGACAACTTTGGATTTTGCTTTGAACTCAATAGTTTGATAACTATTGTATCTCCTTACTCTGACCCAAATCCCTTCCCCTGCTCTTCCGGCAAAACTGAGGAGGGAGGGATAGACTTCATCTAAGCTTTATTAAGAATATTCTGGAAGTTTCTTTTGCTTTTTATACTTCAAATAACTCACAAAAATCAATAATTTGATGACTAAAGTGTAAACGAATGAGAAACATGGAATAAATTTTCCCTTCAATTACATGAACAGAAATTCTATGGGTTTTTATTGAAAACCCAGGCAAAGTAACAATGAGTATTTGCTAAGCTCCAAGTAAAGGTGTTGATATTTCCTGTCTTTCTGGATGTAGATGTGGTGCCTTCTCCAGGAGAGTCCCAAAGCACAAGAGGCTTGGTAGTTGTTTCTTGCTTTATTTGTGCTTTTTTCTCTCTGAATTGCTATTAAATTGCTATTGCTCCTTTTTATACTGAAGATCTCAAAATTGGTGCAGAAAAGAGATATCTCAGCTTTCCACATGGGCAATACCACTTGAGCTTTGATCAATGAGTGGTAGCTAGTGGTGCTGCTGAATTGGGCAGGAGACCAAGGTTAAAAATTTTGTAGTTTGCTTTCTTAATAAGGAAAAAGAGTTAGTTGTATCCCTGAAGTGGGCTCCTCTTTCTTCTTATGTCAGCTCTTGCTTTTATGTTGCTAACCACAGTATTACAAGTGACCATGGGCCAAACAGTGTTTTAGAATCTCCAGGAAGGGGTAAGACTGCCAGGTCCTGTAACTGGAAGAGTTCATCAATCAAATAATGGAAGGAAAAGGGAATTAGTTAATGACATTCTGAAAAGCTGTAACTATTTTGCTTGATTTTTTTTTCTTTTAACATTGTTCTTTCATAGTTCAGTCATAATTTTTTTGTATAACAATAAAAACCTAATACTGTTCCATTAAAATTTTTCTCTTTGTCCTTTTGATGTTTATAGTAATAATAATAGCAACAACAGATGGTCTTATCTACCTCTGATAACCCAAAGAATGACATTTATTCTGCATAAAAGATATTTATGTCTAAGGAACCAAACTAATAATACAGAAGCAGAGCATATTCTTCCAAGAATAGACAACACAAAAACAATTGGTTTCTATATTTCTTTTCCTGCACTCTTTGTCACGTTCTATCATTTATAACATCAACCTTTTCTATTTAATGCATCTTCCAAAATATGTCACAATTGCCAAGTTTATAGGTTATCTTCATTGGTTATATTTAGGTTTGGATGCTTCTAGATGATCTGAAATAGGATAGGAAATAGGTGCAGGGTTTCTTTCCTGCCCCAATTGACTGGTAGTGACTATATGAAACTGTGGTTCTCAACCCTGACCACACATTACAATTGTCTGAGGATCTTTTAGAAATTCATGCCAACCCCAGCCCAGGTTGGCTGCAGAATCTTTATGGGCTTGGTTTAGGCAAATTTAAAATATTTCCCAGGTAATTCTAATAAATAGCCAGGATTAAGAATTTGGATCTGTAAAAGAAATTCAAATAGCCCACAGGCACGTTAAAAGATAATCTGCATCACCAATCATCAGAGAAATGCAAAATAAAACCACAATGAGATATCACCTCACATGAGTTAGGATGGCCAACATCCAAAAGACAAGGAACAGCAAATGCTGGCAAGGATGCAGAGAAAGGAGAACCCTCCTACACTGCTGGTGGGAATGTAAATTAGTTCAACCATTGTGGAAAACAATATGGAGGTTCCTCAAAAAAACTGAACATAGAAATACCATTTGACCCAGGAATTCCACTCCTCAGAACTGACCCAAAGAAAACAAGATCCCTGATTCAAAAAGACATATGCACCCCTATGTTTATTGCAGCACTATTTACAATAGCCAAGATATGGAAGCAACCTAAGTGTCCATCAGTAGATGAATGGATAAAGAAGATGTGGTAAATATACAAAGTGGAATATTATTCAGCCATAAAAAGAAAACAAATCCTAGCATTTGCAACAACATGGATGGAGCTAGAGGGTATTATGCACAGTGAAATAAGCAGACAGAAAAAGACAAGTACCAAAGGATTTCACTCATTTGTGGAGTATAACAACAAAGCAAAACTGAAGGAACAAAACAGCAGCAGACTCACAGATTCCAAGAAGGGACTAGCAGTTACCAAAGGGAAGGGGCTAGGGAGGGTGGGTGGGGAGGGAGGGAGAAGGGGATTAAGGGACATTATGGTTAGCAATCACAATAAAGGTAAGTCACAGGGAAGGCAGAAGAGCACAGGAAGACAAGTAATGACTCTATAGCATCTTACCATGCTGACAGACAGTGACTGCAAAGGGGGGAGGTGAGGACCTGATAATATGGGTCAGTGTTGAAACCACAAGGCTGTTCATGTGAAACCTTCATAAGATTGTATACCAATGATACTTTTTAAAAAAAGAATTAACAAGGACACACACACAAAAAAAATCTTGGATCTGGAGCAGTGTTTTTCAAACTTCGACACAGACCCAGATCACCTTGACGGCTTGTTAAATACGTAGATTGCCAGCCCCTTCCCCTGTTCTTTCTGATTCACTTTGTCTGGGTAGAGCCCAAGAATTTGCATTTTGAACAAGTTTCCAGTTGATATTGATGCTTCACATGATTTTGTAGAGAAACTGAAAGTTCCTCTGGCCAGGATTCTCACCTGACCTGGTCTGCTCCCTCACTGTACACGTGCAGGCAATACACTGTTATTGACTCCATATAAGGAGCTCACCCAGTGCTCTGAGCTGCACGACCACAGGAGAGTGGAGGCTGGAGTGGCGGCAGTGCTGAGGACAGAGAGGAGACAGTTGTGGGGGCAGAGACAGACTTGCTGCATGCAGATTCTCTCTGAGTGGATGGGATTCTATGCTTGACCTGCCACCCTGAGAATAAAGCTGGGTATAAACCCTTTCACCCCAGGAACATTTCATTGTCATTTCTCAGTCTCACAAATCAAGAGTGAACTTGCCCAGGGCTGAAACCCATTGGCAAGACAGATGTGGTTTGGTGAAGTCATGGATACACAGGTCCACACTTTGAGGATGAAGCTTTGTGTTAAGAAGGAACTTGAAGCTGAATTAAGGTTCAGTGGAAAAGAGGGCCATGACTGATTCATCATGGCTGGGCTGCCACACCACAGAAAGGAAGAATTGTATTTGTTACTCCCACTCTTGAGAAATTAATCAGTAAACTATCCTCATTCCCAATGTAGAAATGGGTTGCTCCAGGAATTATTCCTCATTTACAGTTCACATTGTGACAATTCATTCCTTGGCCAACTATCCACATCAGGAAAGGGCCCTGTCCTGCCCAGCCAGACTAGAAGCTGGTCTACTGAATCTGTCTAGTCACTGCAGCTGCTGCATGCTGCCGCTATTGTGATCTGCATTACCTGTGAGCCGCTCATCTCTGTCTGCTATATACATCGTCAGAGAGAGGTAGCTTGTTTTCCTATAAGCATGAGTTATTTTATCCAATTCATTGACTGGGAACTAGCACAAAGCAGGCCAGTCTTGACGTGTCCCCTACGAAGGCTTTGGAAAGTCAGGGAGCAGCATGTGGGCAGAGAGAAAGGGGCTGCAGAGAGCATGGATGGGCTCTGAAGTCCAATGCTGTCTATCTCTCCACTCAGCCTGAGACCTCTAAATACTTGTTTGTTTTTTCCTCAGTTCTGAGCGTCTCTGTAGATCACAAAAGCAGTCCACAAGCAGAATCCAATGGCCAGTCAGAAACTTCAAGCAACCCCCCTGCTGCCATTGAGAAAAAGTGGTGAGTCTCATCTCTAAATGTTCCCAGTGTGAAGCTCAGGTGCTCTGCCCAGTGGGCAATGTAACAGAAGTATTTCTAAACGCTGTTATTTTGATGACTTGGAGAGAGTAAAGCCAAAAAGTGTTTCCCATGAGATTCTGCCATGTCAGAGGTCATTATTACTCTGTGGGCAAAATTCTTATTTTACAGGACAACCTGAACACAATCCTGCTTTTTTTCCTTCATGGTGAAACCTATACTTGGCCTCATTAGGTTAAAGTGGTGGTTCTCAGTGGGGAACAGTTTTGCCCCTCTCCCCCAGGACATTTGGCAAGTCTGGAGACATATTTGGTTGTCACAACTTTAGGGGAAAGAGTTGTGCCACTGGCATCCAGTGGTTAGAGGCCAGCGATGCCAAACATCCTACAGAGCACAGTGCAGCCCTTTCACAGCAAAAGAAGTGTCCAGCCCCAAATGACAATAGTTCCGGTGCTGAAAAACCTTGGGTTTAAGCTAAACCGAAAGGGAGTATCATTACTTGTTTACCCACAGGTGCTAATTAAATATAATTCAAAATGAATACAGCACTGGTGCCCAGGGCCATAGTTTACTATTTTCAATGTAGGCATGAGCTACTCAGGGCTGCAGAGGACAATGACCCTGGTAAATGTGGCCTCAGGTCACTTTAGTCAGGCCAGGCCAGGCCCTGACAGGAAGCACCAGTGGCTCAAGGAACTCACAGGCCTCCCGTTCTGCAGGGAAACCTCCATAACCTACCTCCACCCAGAAGAGGTCTCCAGGCCCCATCACACATGTCACCAGAGGAGGACACAGCTACAGGGGGAGCAAGCGCGACAAAGGGAAGGTCTGCTTAGGATGACGCTTGTCTTTCTTATTTTCCTCCAAATTGCTTGTGGGGACTTTCATTAAAAGTTTACGCTAGGATTTGGAGACAAAAGCATATCAACAGAAAGCCCTTTGTATCGTTTCACCTGGAAAAAGAGGTGGTCTTGATTTGTAATTTTTTTAAATGATTCTTAATTTTTTGAGACTTCTTACTGATATTTTTGGGCTGACAAATTAAATCATCACTACTTCTCTAGCAGTCTCAAACTGTTCTTGGATTGCTTTCAAAGTAAACTACTTTCTTAATAGAATAGCTTATTTTAGGGTATGTGAAGAAATATTGTAGACCTCATCCTCCCACTTCTGTGAATGACACAAACACTGTCTTGTAACCTAACCTTAAAACCTGGGAGTCATTTTTAATCACTTCCTCTAACTTAACCCCACTTCCAATCATTTCCTTAGCATCCTTCCTTGGCCCAGTATCTCTTTCTCTCTCTCTGTTCTCTCTTTTTTACAGACTAGCTTTCATTTCTGACACCTGATCAATTGTGGTAAAGCATATTCTATCTTTTCAAAGAACTTTAATGGCTTCCCATTTTAGACCAGAAGAGGTTCAGACTTCAGTCAGTTATATCAAGCCTCTCCCCATCTTGATCCAACCTGTCCTCCAGATTCACCCCCGATATGCCCCAGACTGATTGTTCTACCAATGCACCTACTTCTGTTCTCTCTGCTCATGTCTTTCTGTTTAGTGCTTAGCTATTTCATCAAGATATATTATCATATCCCTTTCTGCCATGAAGACCTTAATTCTCTTAAATACTTCTTGCTGTATGAAACAGTATTCCTCAAAATGCTTGTTTCTGACAAGATGATAAGCTTTTATCAGAATGTAAATCAACACACTGCTTTCTTCTCCAAGAAAAGTCTTGCTATGAAAAAAATATCAGTTGAACTTAACAATGTACTTGGTGGTAAATTGAGTTACATTCTGGCTCAAGGTCCTTAGGATGTTTGAGCAATAACAGTTCAGACTCAGCCTCCTCAGACCTCACTTTGGTTTATCATTCTCTGGCCCTTTACGTTTTGCCTGTTGTTGTGGTTGACTTTGCGCTAGCAGGTCAGGTTCTCAAAGACAAAGGTCGAGTCTCACTTCCTGTTTCTAAGACATGCAGTAGGTACTCAGTAAGTTTACTGAGCTGACTTCCAAACCCAGTCTTCAGGATTCAGGTTTTTATGAGAAAAAAGTTCTTCCAGCTCAGTCTTTGGGTGGTGACAGCAACAGCAGGACCCAGGGAGTGTGTCACAGTGTCCGTGCCCCAGGGGGCTGGAGTCCTATTTTTCCCTCTGTTTGACGGTCACCTACATGCCCTGTGGAGTGCCCACAGGTTGACAGACTGGAAACTGGGGCCAGAGCAGAGATGGGCAGAATGAGAAAAGAGCTGAGTCATGCCAATGGTGATGGTCTCAGAAGAAAGTAACAGAATGTCCCACCAATAGATTTAAGGATCCCTCAGGACAGAGGTCTGAAAACAGAAGTTCCAGTGTTAGGTCAGTTGCTTAGGAATGTCATCAAGGACATAGGCCCTTTCTGTCTCTATACTCTGCTATTCTTAGCATGTTAGCAATGCCCCCACTTATGGTCTCAAGGTGGCTGAAGCAGCACTAAGCATCACTTCTTCACATGCAATGTCTAAAGCAGGAAGAAAGAGGTAAGTGGAAAGGGAGCCCTCCTCAGGAGCCACTCTCCATTTGTCAGGAGGGTAACCTTTCCTAGAAGCTTCTCACGGGCCAGAATTTGCAGAGATGGCTCTACAGGGAGCTGCAAGGAAGGCTGGAAAAGTGAACATGGGCATTCTCAGCTTCTGCAGGGAGAAGGAGGGCTTGGGGAACCAACCAATGCGGTGGGACAGAAGAATTCTGAAGAGGCGGTGACAGAAGCAGATAGGCATTGAGAAAGATGAAGGGAAGTTGAAATCAGAGGGAAGAGTTCACAAGGAAGAGCCAGACATGGTAAGAAATATTGTTGAGACCAAGAATAGGGACATATTGATGTCATCACTCAGATTCACCCAACATTTGTTACAATGCCAGGTCTTTTCCCATAATTTTCTCACCTGTTTCTCACACCAGCCTTTTAGGTGGCATTACCAACTCCATGCCACTGAATTAAACCAAACGAGGAAAATCTGAGACAAGTATGTCCCAAATGCTGGCCCGGAGCCCAGATCAGGTTTATCCACTCCTGGTAGTCTGGGGGCCTCACCCACCACCACACAGGGAACAAATGGCAGGTTTGGGGTTTGAATCCAGATCTTCTGTTTCCAACAATAATAGCAAAAACTAACATTTGATATTCATTAACAACTTCCTGGGTTAAGTGTTTTATATGTGTTATCTTATTTATTCCTCACAACTACCCTATGGGAGGGGTACACATTTTATGATTTCTGACACCTAGAGATTTCAAATAACTTGCCAGTATTACTCAGTAAATTGACAAGAGTCAGGACGTGGATGCAGGCCTTCTAACTCCAGAGCCCACGCTTTTAAATTGCTGTTACATTCTACTACCAATCTAGGTTCCAGGCTCTAAATGCTTAGCCCAGGCCTTTTTGTATTTTGTGTTCTCTATAACTGTCATTGCAGCAAATCTTAAATCACCACCAGCTAAGGAATAAACCCTGATTGGTATAAAACTGTCACCCTGTAACTGACGGAGAAAATTCGAGCACTGAATTTTTGGGAGAAAGCCTATGGCCTCCCTGGAAAGGTGCTCTCATCTGTTCGTGACAGGCTGTGGGTTACCATAGCTGGGGAGAAAGAAAACTCAGGTTGAAGGTAGAAGTCAGTGGCATGGTGCTTTTCTGCTCCACTTTCTATACGAGCTTGTGACTGTGTACAGTGAATGACAGAATGGAAATAGTCTTTTATGTAGTGGGGCTTTGTTCCTGTGATGGTAATCCTCCATTTTAATACCGATAAGTACAATAGTGAGGATTATGCCCTCAATTGAATTTGGCCTGTGTATGGCAAAGCTCTCTCAAGGCTTTTACTTGACATTCTTTAGCACAGCTAAACTGTTGCTGTGTAAAGTGAAGCCCCTATGAGGGAGGCAGATGGATAATGCTGGTGCAGATGTTTTTTTACCAAGCGGCTCGTGACACACTGCCAGAGAAAATGCTTCATTTGGGGCGGCCTCAGTGAAGATTCAGATTCCAATGATGGGAACCTTCATGACTCCAGCAGCTCAAGAGGAGCTGGCACCTCACAAGAGGGGAAAATGAGCACATATTTCTCCTGCGTGTCATCTTTGCAACTGTGGGGCTCGGAGCCAATTGGGCTGACCTCAGAATAGGTGAGCCAGGGAAACAGCCTCCCAGTCAGGGCCGACTGTGGGCCAGATTTTCATGTGGGCTGTGAAAGTGTAGATCGCCACACTATGGGCGGTGGTTGCAGAAGTATGTGGCAGTGCTAAGAAGAGTAAACAAAACTTGTCTTTACATATCAGGAGGACCTTTCCTTTCCCACCCTTCAATCTCCAGGCTCATTTCTCCTTCTACTTTCATTTCCCTCACCTTCCAGCAAATTTGCTTCCACTGCAGCCAAGTCCCCATGCCCTAAGGCACCAGAGGCCCTCCTGCGGAGCCAGAGGGGAAGAGACAGCCTGGGTGTGGAGGGGCAGGGATGCTGGCCTTCTTTTGTGAAGTGCTTATGATGTGGTAGATAGTCTATGTGTTGGCTCATTGGGGTAGGAAATGGATGGACACTGGTGGCAGACCTGGGCTTGTGTTCAGTTCAGTTACAGACAAACTGAGGCTCTGGGCAAGTTTCTTCACCTTTCTGAACCTCAGGATCCTAAGCTACAAAAATGGAATCATTGTAAGGACTAGAGATAATCTACACAAAGGAACTAGCACAGTTCTGGACACATAACAAGTGCTCGCCGTAGGGTGATGGCGGGCTGTTGCTGCTGTGACAGAAGTAGTAGCAAGAACAGTCGTAACGGTAGCATGCCAGGTTCCTGTAGAGTGACCTGATATGAAGGGTGAAGACCCCTCTGGCTTAGCCTAGAGCTGTACACTAAAACAAACACTGAGGATTCCAGCATTTTAGAAGCTCTGAACAATGTTAACTCTCTGCTTTAACTTAAAAGCCAAATTTTATTTTGT